TTGAATTCAAGAAGAATCTACTATATTTTGAGGGACGCCTACATGTTCGAGAAGGAGCAGTATTTAAGATGTACCATTAACTACCAACAAGATGATTGGACAACTCTTTTATCATTGGCAGAGTTTGTTTACAATAACACGGTACATTCTTCTACAAAACAAATACCTTTCTTTACTAATTATGGTTATCATCCATGACTTGATATTTTTGACTTTTCAAAAGTTAATAATCCTGCTGTAAAAGATTTAGTAATTCATTTGTCAGAGCTACTTACAATGATGAAGGCATAGTTAAAAGAAGCTCAAGAACAACAAAAGGTCTATGTCGATGTCTATCGAAAGGAACAACCACCATTCCACATGGATGATAAGGTATGGTTACTTCGTTGCAATATCAAGACCACGCATCCTTGTGACAAGTTGGACTATCGAAGGCTTAGACCATTTTGTATTTTTGCACAAATCAATCGAGTTGCATATCGTTTACATCTACCGGATTCAATGAAAATCCATCCCGTATTCTACGTGTCTCTTCTTGAACCATACAAGACAGTGGACATACCAAGAAGAAGACAAGCTCCACCTCTTCCTATAGAAGTGGACAATAATGAAGAGTTTGAAGTGGAAGAAGTCTTAGATTCAAGGCGTCACCAAAATAAATTAAAATATCTTGTCCATTGGCATGGATATGATATTAGTGAATGCACATGGAAGCCAATAAAGAATCTTGCAAATACAGCAAAGGTGGTGGAGGCTTTTCATCAACAACATCTATCAAAATAAAGATGAAAATCTTCCTTATAAAAGAAATAAGATCTAGGCAAGATAACATTCTACTTTCAATTTTTGTTTGTAGCTTCTTTGTAGTTGTGGCACTCAAGAAATGGAGAACTAACAACCAACGGATTCCACTCAAGAGCCTTCATTTATTGACTTGTCGGATGAGACATTACGATTGTCACAACCTTCAAGACGATGCAATCGAGATGAAGATCTTCAAGAATGACATGTTCTTCCTCGACTAGATGGCGAGATACAACATGTTTGGTATCACGACCTTAGAAGAGACTCTCGATGTTTGGTGATTTTACTAGAGATAGGAACAACTCCTGATGGTATTCCAAATATTTTATTCGAAGGAAATTATGAAGGCTTCAACAATGATGAAATAACTGGGTGGTCTTCTCACCCTAGTATGGGACACTACCGATGGTTGAGAGGCCCAATCAATCATCTTTGAAGAAAATAAAGATCAGAGTATGTGGCGAATATAATTTGTCACATTATAGATTTCCTCATTATATAATTACCGCTTCTCCTGGAACTAGTCCTTAGAAGGAGGGGTAATGTCATGGACATATGCATGTAAGCTAATAATTACATGTATAAATAAGTAGAAGTAAGTAAAAGTAAGTAAAAGTAAGTTAATTCTATAGTATCTAGTATGAAAGCTTCTTAGAAGCTTCATAGATACTGCTTTGACTTTATAGGTGTCTTTAATTGACTTTTTGGGATTAGAAATGTGGTCAACAAGTTGGCTATGTGCCACACATGTTGTTAGCTTGAAGATCAAGCTAACTATGTGGCCCACACGTAGAAAAACTTGTCTTATAAGTCAAGGCATGTATGCTACAAAGTCAATACATATTGGAGGTCCTATAGAACGTCGCCACGTAGCCCTTAGTTAGATAGTATATATAGAGACAAGAGTGAAGCCTTCTTCACTCTTGTCAACTCTTTTCTTATTTCTAGTCTAATTTCAAGGGTCTCTAATTTTCTTGGCTTTTGGCAATAGCCATTCTAGTTTCTTTCTTAATATATATATATATATATATATATATATATATATATATATATTTATATATATCAAGTTATTTCTATTTTGTCATCTTTCTATGAGAGAAGTCTCACTTGTTTATTTATCTTTATCATATTTTTGTCGTTGACACACACTCCACAACAAAATGGTGTTGCTGAAAGAGTAAATCAAACCATTGTAGAGATAGCAAGTAACATGCTTCATCTCAACACCTTGGCTATGAGTTTTGGATGGATGCTGTGGTGAATGCACTATATACAAGAAATAGGTGTCCAACAAGTACTCTTACATCAATGACACCACAAAAAGCTTAAAGTGGGAGACAACCTTACATTTTTCATGTGAAGACCTTTGGTTGCATTGCATATGCAAAAATACCAGATTGTATGAGGTCCAAACTTGATGCAAAAAGTACAAAGTGTGTATTTCTTAGTTATTGTGAAGGTACTAAGGCATATAGGCTAATGTGCTTGAAAACCAAGAAGATCATCAAAAATCGTGATGTTGAATTTTTGGAGCACAAGAGTGTTTGTGAACACATGGAGATGTATCCACGTAGGAGTAATGGTATGTTTGTGGAGACATCTTTGAATTTTGCAAAGAAACAAGAAGATGAAGACAATGAAGATGAAAAGCCATAGAAGATTGAAAAAATGAAGGCTCTTACAATTGCTAGGAATAGCAATGAAGGAAATGAAGATGTTGAAGGTTATGATGATATTGATGATGAGGAGTACCAACCATTGAGTGAGAAACAATAAGGTTTAAGAAAGAAGAAGGTTGGAAAAGAATATGGAGTGCAACAAGGTGACTATTCTTTTACAAATGAAATGAAATATCCTTTGAGAGAAAGAAGGCAATGTGGTGAATGGTAGAAGGATGACATCTTTCCTCAAATAAGTGAAGAACATGAATATGTTGCTCTTCTTGCTGATCTGTTATCTTTGTGTAATGCATTGAAGTCCGAAGATGCAATCAAGTGAGAGAAGGCTATGGAAGAAGAGTACTAATCTTTTATAGAGAATGTGAGATGTAAAGTGTGCCATACAAGGCAGTAATAGGCTCACTCATGTATATAATGGTGGCTATAAGAGTGGATCTTGGATATGCAATTGGGTTAGAAATGCAAATGATAGAAGATCTACAATAGGATATTTCTTCTTTATTGAAGTGGGAGCTATTTCATGGAATTGCAAGAGACAACCCACTATTGCAAGATCAACGATGGAGGCACAATATATAGCAGCAAGTCATTGTGCAACGGAGGCGTGTTGGATAAGACAACTCTTAGAAGACATTGGTCTAGTGCAATTAGAAGCAACTCTAATTATGTGTAATAATCAAAGATATCTTGTATTTGCCAAGAATCCAAAACACCACTCAAGGACCAAGTATATTGATGTTCAATATCATTTCATATGGAGAAGATAGATGATGGAATAATAGGTATGAAATATTGTGCTACAAATGACATGCTTGCTGATGTGCTTATAAAAACATTAGTGAAGGATAGACATCATGACTTGATTTAGAGAATAGGATTAAAAGCCTTTTGAAAGTTAGGAAAGTGGGAGTGTTGAAAATCAGCAAGTATTTGCTTAATTACAACCACATAGAAATTAAGCATAGTATGTTGCTAATAGTCAAAAGGTAGCAAAGAGTTAAAAGAAGTTACTATGGTGGCACCTAAGATTTAGTTGGATGAAGTAGAAATAGATGTGATATCAAAAGGATGGAAGTTGCCTTGTTGGTTAGCAAATTACCACCTATTAGTAAAGGGTGTTGGAAGTAAGAATTATCTTACTCCACACTTCTGTTTGTGTGTAAACCTTGCTGATGCTAAGTGTTTGTAGCTTTTGGACTTCTTTTCTTCAATAGTTTTTGTACTCAATGAATGTGTTACTTCAATTGCATTCAATAGACACCAATGTCTATGTAACAAATGTTGGTATGGAGATTGGTGATTGGTCAATAGCTGTATTTATTCATAATTTTACTTGAGAAATAACAATTGAAAAAATTGGATAAATCTACTTTGTGAGATCTCCGGCTTTCTTTACCTTGTCTGATTTCCAATGTCTAACGTAGAACTCTAAGCATGAGCATGACTACTTATAGCAATCTCGGGAATTGACTACAGTTGACAAACTGTTGATCAAGAAGTGAACCTCAGCGAAGTAATGAGAAGATTTTTTAAAAATTTAGACTAGTTCAACATGCATAATAACCTGTAATAACTGTTCTTTGGATCGAACACACTTCGATGATCGACATGAAACACAACTTGCTGTATAGCTAGATGTTCGGTTATACTAGTACTACTATGAATGTGTTACGAGTTGTCGTCACGCAACAGGCTTCCTCGCCTCGCAAGGAAGATAGTAGATAAATTGCATTTGCAACCAAGATGATTGCTATAAGTAGTCATGATTGCGGCACTGAAATAACACCTTTGTTTTAAAGATAAATAGGTTGCGACGAGGAATGGAGGGCTTCAAGAAAATTGAGATAATAGAGATGGGAGGCATTCTGACGAAAGGAGCTCAACTACTGCAGACGGTAGACGAAAAGTAAGTGGCAACATCGGAGTAAGAGAGGATTCAGTTCTAGAATGCAACAGAGGTAACGACAGACTCTCTGCATTAAGGAACAGAATCAAATAATCCACCGCCAAAGCTTTAGCACATGCTCATAGTGTGAACATCAAATTCCAACTGCAAAGAAGCCCATGATCGATCAAACGTCGGCCATCTGGGCAACGGATACGGAGTGTTCAGGCAGAATTTGTGACAGGCTACACGACCAGAGGAGGTTGTGAGGGTGAGAGCGAATTCTATTCAGATGATAAACCTGAGAGGTAAATCTACATGGTCTCAGGAATCGACTCGTCCTTCCATGTATCTAAATTTCGAAGAAACTATTGAAAGCAACATGGGAGCTCGTAGTCTCTAATTAATTACCGATGTGCCAGTAATGGCTCTACAAAGTAAGCCAATAAAACAATCTGCTGGAAATTTTAAGATATATCATCAAAGACATGGTTTGATCAAAACCTTCGTCTGCCAAGAAAATTCTGGTTTTGAGGCTATTCTATCTCACCATCGAGACACAAGCACGCTTTTGACGGACAGCAATCATCCTCGGTAGTGCCGCAACCAGGTTTAGGATTTAAGGTTTTGGGTCCGATCTTTTCCTGTCAACTGGCATTTGAAAGTTTGAACCTTAGCGCCTTAGTCACAACCTTGCTGTGTGTCGAAGCTTTGCAAGTTGGTGAATCTGATCCGAACAGATCCTTTCTGCAAAGTGTGGCCGAAAATACTACATAAAGAGGAATTCCTTTCAGACGACATAGTATCAGTATGGAAATGACATGATCTATGCACGAATTCCTTAAAAGAATCAATACAGAATTGATGGCACGTCTTGCTTATGGCATAGAGGTCGGATCATTTTCTGCTCGCCAACTGTATTTTCCTTGCGTTGAGATGGTGGTTCTGATGTTCTTGCTCAGTGTTCCTGCAGTGGATCTACAATCTCCTTGTGTTGCAGTGACATTCGGTGATTGCCGCGAACTCTTCGTTGCAGTTTCAAATTGCACCTCGACGTCCAGGACCGCGGCGGCTTCTGGGAATTGGGCCAAATCTGAAGCGGACTACATGTGCTGACAGACGAAACCATATTTCAGGAAGGGATTCTTGTCGATTCCGATTTAATTGTTCTGCCACTCGATCTAGTCTTCCAAGTTGAACGGTTCAAGTTCAGAAACTGAAAGAGTTAGGGTTAGGGTTAGACTGAAAGTAATGACATTTGGCTTCACGTATTGCCCACAATAGTTGTCTTGGTGAATTTCTGCATGTAGTGGTCTGCAGGTACTTGACAGAATATCTGGTGTGATTTTCCTTTCAATGTAGTGCGAGTGTTCAAAAATTGTGCTGAAACTGAAATTTGGTTCATGCGGTGGGTCGTTGGATGTGTGTCGTGTTGCAGAGATTGAGTTGCGTGCAAGAGTACATCGGTCACGGTAGAAGCTGTGGTCTTGAGGTGGGAAGCGGGATGGAACTGAGTAAGTTTCTGTTGCTGTTTACGACAACCAATATGTTTCTGGCGAGCAAAGGTGAGATCCAAACAATGGCAGATCCCATGCTTATCGACTCTGCGCTCACAGATTTACTCTCAGATATGCCCTGGGCCCCGATTTTCTTTATCATTTGCACTGCTGTTCTAGCCACTATGACGTCGTCCCCACAACACCAAGACGAATGGTTAATTCCGGGACAGAGCACGCTCTGGCGGAGGCTCAACAAGCGCGTCGGAGTGTTGAACCCGATGATGCAGGAGAAGCAGTGGATTAAGCACTGTCGAATGTCGTACCCTGCCTTCGTGTATTTGGTGGAGGAGCTGCGGCCGTACATGTTGCCGAATGCCCAGATGGTGAGAGAGCCTGTGGAATTGGAGCTAGCGGTGGCTATAGTGCTGAATCGGTTGGCATCCGGAGCTTCGCCGGCCGTGATTGGAAACCTCTGGGGTGTGGGAACAGCAACTGTTGTGAAATACACGAAGCTCGTGACTTCTATATTCGCAAGCTGCGAGAAGTTGTACTCCAAGTACATTGTTGCTCCTACTGGCGAACGACTCGAACGTATTAGTAAGAAGTTTTTTCAAGTAACGGGCATTCCGAATGTTGCTGGTGCCATCGACGGCACTCACATTGTGTTACAGAAAAAGCCAGACCGCGCGACTTGCCCTGCTGACTTTTGCTCTGGGGAAGGCAAAGATGCTTTCTACTCGGTTCTTCTTCAGGGTGTTTGTGATGCTGATAAAGTCTTTTGGGACGTGTGTTGTGTTGCGCCCGGCGGGTCGAATGACTCAGAACACTTAAAGTCAAGCAGTTTGTGGACCAGATTGTGGGAGAAGGAGGTTCTGAGGGAGCCTGTCATCAGTTTACAGGGTATTCCTGATGACTTAAGTACCGTCTTTGTTCAACAAATTGTAGCTGATTGCACCTCGATGTCTTGTCTAGCCAGATCCTTAGGGATCCTATGCTGTGATGTGTGCAGGTGTATCCATCAGGCCCTATTTGGTGGGAGATAAGAACTATCCTTTACTTCCCTTCTTGATAAATCCATTCGACACTGCTCCAGCAGAAACGCAAGCGGAGTCCCTGTTTGATGCTCAACTGCAGAAGGGGCATGCAAGCATCGTCACAACATTTGGCATTCTTAAGAACCGGTGGAACATTCTGAAGAACCTCAACGTGGACCTCAAGTCTGCTCCTCAAACTATCGTGGCCTGCTGCGTGCTCCACAATTTCTGCCAACTGTCTAACCAATCGGAGCCCAAAATACAGGTGGATGATGCACTCAATCACAATGTCCCGGATCATTACAGTGACGATGTTGGAGGGGAGGAGACACGGCAAGCCTTGTTCTTGAATTGGCTTACGCAACATCAAATTTTGATTTAAATGTTTCTCCACAGTGATCACATAGCATTATATAAGTCTGCATCACATCACGCAGAAGATGTTTGCAACAGTGCCTGGATCGACCTTAAGGTGAGAATGGATGCTGAGGATTTCTTCAATGGTCTGCCGAATTCGAATGGGAGCTAGACTTGCATAGACATCAGTTGGGAAGCAGGTGAATTACGCTGCAGATTAGGGCAACGATAATCAGATTGCCAGTACAAATTTGAACTCTTTTCTCCCGACCAATGTCCTCAGCGTACTTTGACAGAGGTCGTGAGAGGAGGATGCTGCTCCGCACACCATCAATATCTAATGGTGCAATTCACATGCAGAATCAATACTGGCTCTCACAAATTGTTGGCTTTTTCCGCAGCCTGGTGTTGTTATTCTAGCTCGTCAGAGATTGCTTTTTGTGCGAGAAGTTTCCTTTGACTGGCTGTAGAGTAGCTGGGCATGTTGGTGACCGTGATCTTTCTCAGGCGGATTTACACGTTTCTCCCAAAACACTCAGATCCCGGGCGGATTCTTGTTCTTGTCTGGCTCATAGTCTGCAATAAAAGTTAACACCTTTGTAGTTGCCACCACTGGGGGTGGCATTGAGTTCATCGATCCACTTCCCAATTGCACCACAGATGTATTCGTTGTTGGATGGACTCAATAAGTAGCGATCTGCCGTCAAACCCTACCATGCTGTTCTTGCTTGCCCAGTGTCTTCCTCCTTTCCCGGAGAATCTGAATCCTATCTTCGTTGACCTGAGAATGTACACGCTTCGGAGTCTGATATAAGTGCACACTCTCAACCCTCCTGCCCCATCCCCCCTTTGTTGCTTCTCTCTAGCTCTCTAGGCGGCGCAAATCATTTCATTACTGTGATTCCGTGCAGCAGCAAACCACAGAGCTGAGTTCTTCATTAAATTCATAAATTTCACTGCACTGAATTTATGGATCATAAAATGTGGGAAGGATTTTCTTGTCTCACTGATAGTTTCGTGTGCAGCGAGGTCTCCTGGTTTCTAGGTGGTGAGTTAAGCATTGTAGTGTCGGAATTCACGATTTGAGAACTGTCTAGGGTACCTACTCATGAAAAATTGGAATTCAATTGTCGACATCACGTCGTACAATAATCGACATCACGTCGTGAAAAAATCATCATCAAGTTTTGTTAGTAGCACACATATTTACACAGAAAAATGAATGGACTAGTAAATAAATAAATAAATAAATAATCCATGTGAGAGTGATCCCCAAAACAAGTACTGTAGGAAGAGTACCGAATTGCGGTACCAATGTCCCATTCAACATCAAAACCACGACCTCAAAAGCTGGATAGAGCTGGGAAGATTCCAAAATCATCGAGCTAAGCTCATCTGCAACTTATCCATACAAGATTTTGGAAGAATCTTTGAGCGGGAATACAAATTCCTTTAACTACAAATCTATAAATCTAAAATCATATTTGTTGTCTTTGTTACAATGTAATCAATCATCTTTAAAAGTAACTTTTCAAATTAAATTAAAAAAAAAGACAATAAAACATAGATTTATAACATTAGTTTGTAGAATGAAACTATTGAAGAAATACAAGCAAGATACAAGTAGAAATCAATAAAATTGTACCTAAGAGAAGTATGGAATGAGATACTTCTTACTTCCAACACCCTTTACTTATAGGTGGTGGTTGCTAATCAACGAGGCAGCTTCCATCCTTTTGATATTACATCAATTTCTACTTCATTCAATTAAATCCTAGGTTCTTTCTTAACCTAACCGCCACCTAAATCCTAGCCACCACCTTAATTACTTCGTTTCACCTTTTTATTGCCCTTTAACCAATAATAACTTATCTAAGATAATACTTACTTATTTTATCATATCCATGGTAATACTTATTTATTTTAATACTCCCACTTTGCTATTGGTCAAAGGCTATTAATCCTAGTACCTTTATTAACTTTTGATGCTTATCCTTCACTAGTACTTTTGTGAGCAAATCAACAAGCATGTCTTCCGATGCACAATACTTCATATCAATCACTTGCATTTCAATCTTCTCTCTTATGAAGTGATGTTAAATGTCAATGTGCTTGATTCTTGAGTGATGCTTTAGATTCTTAGCAAAAGCAAGACATCTTTGGTTATCACACTTCATTGGAGTTGCTCCCATTTGCACAAGTCCAATGTCTTCTAAAAGTTGTCTAAGCCAAATTGCCTCCATTGTACCATGATTTGCTGCCATGTATTCAGCTTCCATTATGGACCTTGCAATTATTGGTTGTTTCTTGCAATTCCATGAGATTGCTCCCACTCCAACAAAGAACACATATCCCATTGTTGATCTTATATTATTTACATCTTTAGTCCAATCCGCATTATAATAACCATGTAATGCAATGTTACTGCTTCTAAGACACAATTTGAAGTTTAAAAAGTCTTTTAAATACCTCATGATCCTTTTCATGGGTGTCCAATGGATTGGTCCAGCCTTTGATATGTGTTGACTCACAACACTCACCGCATATGCAAGATCCACCCTTGTACTAACCATTGCATACATAAGTGAGCCTACTGCTGCCTTGTATGGAACATCTTTCATTTCTTCTTCAACTTCAACAAATTCCTCATCCGTGAGCTTTATCAACTTCAAATTTACCTCCAAAGGTGTTCCAATGGACTTGCATTCTTCTATTTTGAACCGTTTCAACACTTCTTCAATGTACTTCTTTTGGCTCAATGTAATGATCTTCTTAGCTCGATCTCTCACAAATTCCACTTCTAAGCAATAGTGGACTTCTCCCAAATCACTCATTTCAAATTCTTTTGCTAAATTTGTCTTCAACCAATCCATCTTTTTCAAAGTATTAGTCAAAATGATAAAATCATCAACATAAAGAATAACAATCAGCAAGAAGGCTTTTGATTGTATCACATACATGGAATGATCAGACTCACTCCTCACAAATACTTCATTCACAAAGAAGGTGTCGATACGTTGGTACCATGCCCTTGATGATTGCTTAAGCCCATACAAGGATTTCTTCAACTTACACACAAGGTGTTGTTTGCCTTCTTCAACAAATCTTTGAGGTTGATCCATGTAGATGTCTTCTTCCAATTCTCCATTAAAGAAAGCCGTCTTTACATTCATTTGGTGCATCTTCAAGTCCATTGCTTCTCCAATTGCCACAATGATTCTAATGGTGGTGAATTTGGCCACACGAGCAAATGTCTCATTGAAATCAACACCAGCAACTTGTAAGTAGCCTTTGGCAACCAATCTTGCCTTATACCTCATAATATTATCTCTTGCATCCCTTTTCGTTCTAAACACCCACTTACAACCAATTGAAGCTCGATTTGGTGGAAATTGAGTCGATTCCCATGTTTTATTATCCATGAGTGATTTGTACTCTTCTTCCATAGCATTCTCTCACTTCATAGCATCCGTGGACTTCATTGCATCACATAAACTCAACGGATTAGCAAGAAGTGCAACATTGGCATGTTCTTTACTTACTTGAGAAAAAATATGGTCCTTCCACCATTCACCACGTTGTTTTCTATCTCTCAAAGGATATCTCCTTTCATTTGAAGAAGACTCAACTTGTTGCACTCCATGGTCACCTCCAACCTTCTTTTCTTTTGAAGATAGTCTTTTCTCACTCAAAGGTTCATAATCCTCATCACCATCATCATCAACATCTTTATGTTCTTCATTGTTGGTCTTAGCAATTGTAGATGCCTTCTTGTCCACCTTCTTTATCTCTTCATCTTCATTTCCATCATTACAACCATCATTATCTTTGTCTTCTTCCTTCTTTGCTGAATTTGAAGATGTGTCTACAAACACACCATCACTCTTACTTGGACATATCTCAAAGTGCTCATAAGCACTCTTGTGGTCCAAAAACTCAACATCACGACTTTTGATGATTTTTTTAGTCTCCAAACACATAAGCCTATAAGCCTTTGTACCTTCACAATATCCAACAAACACACATTTTGTATCTTTTGCATCAAATTTTGATCTCATACAATTTGGTATCTTTGCATATGCTATGCATCTAAAGGTCTTCATGTGAAAAACACAAGGTTTTCTCCCACTCCAAGCTTCTTCCAACGTCATTGCTGAAAGTGCACTTGTAGGACATCTATTTCTTGTATATACTTTATTCACCATTGCTTCCATCCAAAATTCATGTCTTAGATGTTGTGCATGAAGCATACTCCTTGCCATCTCCACAATGGTCCGATTTACTCTTTTAGCAACTCCATTTTGTTGTGGAGTGTAAGGAGTGGAGGTTTATCTTGCAATACCATGCAACTTTAAGAAATCATTGAATTGCTTTGACATATATTCACTTCCATTGTCTATACATAATATCTTGATTTTGCATTCACATTACTTCTCCACAAGTACCTTAAATTCCTTAAACCTTGTGAAATACTCACTCTTTGCTTTGAGGATGAAAATCCATACTTTCTTTAAAAAATCATCAATGAATGTGACAAAATACCTTGTACCTCCTATTGATGGCATCCTCATAGGTCCACAAACATCAATATGGACAATCTCTAATAACTTGGTTGTACGTATTGCAATTCCACTTAGAAATGAGGCCCTTTGTTGTTTGCCTTGAATACAACCTTTACAAGCAAGTGTCATAGCATTGTGGTTTATATGACCAAGATCTAAGCCACTTACCATAGATTGGAGCTCCTTCATGCTCTTGGCATTCAAATGACTAAGGCATCCATGCCAAATGCCAAACTTGTCTTGATCTTGAGGAAATTCAGCAAATGTCGCCACTTCAACTCCATTCACCTTCTTACACTTGATGAAGTAGAGGTTGCCATTTCTAAAGCCCTTTGTAATATGATCTCCTTTCAATGTCTTCACAAAACACCCATTCTTATCAAATTATAATAAGAAACAATAGCAAGTTGATTAGCAAGAGCCTTTACCTTGTTGACATGAGCCATGAGGTCTTCACCTTCTTCCATCTTGCAAGTGAAGAATTTTCTCCTTGTAAAGATGATATTGGACAAGTTCTTGCTCTCATATACGTTATAAAGAGTCTTCCATGCTTTTGCTAGTCTTTTGTAAGAGATGATGTGAGAAAAATTGGCTTCATCCAAATTAGTGGCAATCATACCAAAAGCCTTCTTTTCACATCTTGTGAAGTCCTTCTTCTCTTCAGCATCAGCATGTATGCTTGGAGGCTCTTCACTTTCATCTACAATATTCCAAAGGTCTAAAGATGCCAAAAAAACTCCATTTTGATCTTCCAATGGTAGAAATTATTAAGAAAATAAGTACTTAGAAGACACAATACTAATATCAGCAAGGTTGCATACAAAGAGAGTATGGAGTAAGATGTCTCTGACTTCCAACACCCATTACTTATAGGTGGTAGTTGTTGCCTTAAAAGACAACATCCACTCTTTGACTTTTACAGACATGGCCCTAGGATCCTTTTGGCATCTCACGAGTCCCAAGAGTATCCTATGTCCAATACTAATTACTCTTACGTCTTACACACATGCTCTTAGGATCCTTTAGCATCTCATGAACTACGAGAGTATCCTACGACGTACACTATTGACTCATAC